GGGCCCGTCTCGCCGGCGGGGCCCCCAGCCTGGCACCGGGCTCCGCTGTCCTGGTTATTGGTGTTTTAAAGAAAATGGGTTGTTTTCATAGAGCTACTTTCCCTGCTGGGTTGCTGTGGCGTGCGTACATCTGTGTGTGTCTGCCTGTGCTCCACACAGAGGCACAAAAGGACTTTGAAGCCAAAATATGCGAATGTTTGGCAGTGGGTTGTACAGGAAAAAACCATTCTTCACCACCCTCGTCATTAAAAGGTGTTTTGTGACAAGGATAACAAACCATCTGATGTTGGCTGGAGTTTGCCAAGGTGTAAGCAGCCTAAACTGTGGTCGCCTTTTGTCAGTAATTCTTCTTTGTGACCTGCCGTGTAGTTTCTATTTGCCGTACAGCGGCTGGTCGTCCAGAAATTTTATTGTAAGCTTTATTATATGGAAAGGCTTTTAAAATCAATAACAAATCACAGCGAAGGTATTAATCTTTGTTTGGTGGAGGTTTCTCTTTTAGAAACGTGCTCCAGGTTTCTGGCTCCTTCACGGCTCACCTACATAAGGGTCACCTATGTAATCGACAAGTCCTGTGTGTCCTGAGCCGTTAGCAGCCTCAGTAACGTTTTGGAGAGGACTGGTGGTGTTGCTGGGTGACCGGGGCAATAGCAGTTATACAAGTACTGTCTGGAGATATGGAAGGAATGTCCCTCATAATGTTTGTGTTCATGTAAAAATGCAATTAAAATATTCCTGACTTGACATACTTCCCACAATCCCCCCTTTTTTGCTAACTGGGGATTTCTTGTGTTTCTTTAGTAAATAGGAACCATAACATTTTGTAAGCTGAATTTAGGTGTCAGTAGCTATTTGAACAAAATTTAAATGCTTGAAGTGACTAGGTACAACAACTTCTGTCAGATCGTATTAGTTGGCTGGGTCTATACCCAAAGGTAAGATCTGAATGCCTGGAGAATCATTTGTAAATTCTGTAAACTGCATTTGGAAATCCTCCTCTTGACTCACCATAGGAGAAGGCAGCGTTGAACTGCAGCCCAGGCCACGTTCTGACTGCCAGCACGTGCTATAATCAGTAGTTCAGGCTCTGTACAGTGATACATACTTGTTGCTCTGCAGACAAGTAAACAGTAATGATGTAATTTAATTAAAAAAAAAAACCAACCTGAATTCGATACTGCATTCTAACTGAAGTTACTGAAACTTAAATGGGAGTAGATCCTTGAAACGAAATATATGGTATGAAAGTCCAGACTGTAATTGACAGAGCAAAATGCTCCTGTGAGTACTAGCTTGCTTATTAAAGCAGAGGCCAAAGAAGCATTTCCTTTAAAAGGGACAGTGATGTTAAATCACTTGTCTCGCTGAATATTATCTTGTTCCATCATTATGCTGGTGTATCAGTGCTACTAAAAAAAACCTGATAATAAAAAAAGCTGTTAAATAGATCACTTCTTATTCACAACAGCTGGATACCTGGTTGTATTTCATTGTCTCTGCTATTACCCAGTGTCCTGACTCTGTGTGTTGAAGTTGGGCTGGTGAGTAGTCTGTGAGCACTACTTGCTTTTTAACTCATATTTCCAAAGCTGTAAGAAATGTTTGTAAATTTACTACACTTTGTTTATAGAGGATGCGGCTCCTGGGTGATTACAACTTTGGCTGCGAGCTGTTTTCATGATCTCCTGGAATTACTGGCTGCCTGCTGCACACCAACAGCTGTACAGCTGAGAACTGTGCTCCTGGGTAACATATTGATGCTGTTCTTGCTGATGGAGACAAACAGGACTTGGTAGTTCCCTTGGTGGCAAGTTATTTGGAAGAAAAACTTCCCAGGGATCTGGATCGTTTTTATCATGGACTCCTCATCTGTCCAGCAGGATGTTCTCTTGGAGAATAGAGGCAGTAATGGGGCCCCTAGCAGCTCTGAAGAATTTCTGGATTGTAAAGCCAAGTCAGATTTGCCAGTTGCAACAGATGAAATTAACAGTAAGTTACTTCATATGAACCAAATAATTTCCTAGTCTTGCCCAGGCTTCTCTGCAACTACTTATTTTGATGATCAGGTGATGCTGAAGGTCAGAATTTTCCTTGAGGTCAGGAATTTCTTGTTCAGCAGTTTTAAGCAAGTTTGGTAAAGCCTATGGCTCTATGCATGGGAAAACTGTCTTTTGTTTTGAAACTTATTCTTTTAAAACAAAACCAAACTATTAGCTTAAGTACTATCTGCTGTCAGTTGAGTATGTGCTGCTCATGGTGGTACTCTGTATTGTAATTGTGTTTCCGTGAGTATATACCCGAAATTCACTGGAACTAATAGTTCTCAAATGATTGCTGTGGAGTAAGCTCATGACTGGAGTACTTTATTCTGGCAAGAGAAATTTTCCTTATAAATTTAATCAATCGGGCAAAAATCAAAGTGTACTCAAAAAGTCTCTCTAAACTTCCATTTATGGAAGAGAGATGCTGGCCTGTACTCCCCAAATTATCTCAAAATAACTTTTATCGGTAGACAAGCTCCATAGTAAAATAATTGTGCAGCTGTTTACAAGAAACTTAAAAGAGCACTGATATGAATAGATTATAGAATCAAACTTAGGTTGGAAGGGATCTCTATGGGTCGTCTAGTCCAACCTCATGCACAGAGCTGACCTAGCTTTGAAGCTAGATCAGGTTACTCAGGGCCTTCTCATGTTGAATTCTGAAAATCTCTAGAGAGGGACATTCAACAGCCTCTCTACCCATTCCACTATTTAACTGCTTTAATTGTTAAAATCTTTTCCTTGTGTTGAATTGAAGTATCTATGTTTCCACTACAGGTATCTAAGGATGTGTTGGTGTATAAGGATATGGTGATAGATGGGTGGAGTGGGTGTATACGTTGCGGCTGTGTAGATACACAAAAGTATACAGGTTCCTTACGTAAAAGGAGGTGATCACGTGATGAAGTTGTTAGCCTTCCACACTCCTCTCGTACCACAGATTTGTCATCTTGTCACGGGCAGGAAAGTGGAGTCCTGAGACTTTATTTGCATTTCTGACACTGCCCGTAAGCAGATTGGCAGAGTGTAGTTATATGATGATTCATTGATCTTTTGTAAAGTTCAAGATCACACGTTCCTGTCTTCTGCTGTGTTGGACATTGTGGACAAGAAATTGAATTGTGGCTTATAAATAGGTGGTGTGTCATTCCACTGTTTTCAGTGTAATTGCATCTCCCCACACCCTCCACCCCCTGTTCTAAAAAGATCGCAGTTGTATTGATACTACTGCAATTAAATTACTTTAGTTCAAGGCAGCATTTGGATTCTGAGTGTCTCATGGCTTCAGGAAGTTGCCAGGAAACCATTCCTCCAGAATTTTGTTCCAGCATCTCTTTTGTATATGTATACCACTCAGTTTCGAAGATAAAAATGTAAATAAAGTATAAACCTGGTGCAGTAATAGCTGCATTTTCTGAAAGATGGGCAGAAACAATATTTCTGAATGTACGAGGTACCTTCTTATTTTCTTGTGGCTATTCTTAGCATTAATATCTCTTTTAAATCTAGTTTTGACAATCTTTTAGTTTTAAAATGCCTTAAACTCTGACTTTGGTTAGTCATTAAAAACGCAGTCCTGTCCTTCTTTGCATCCTTGTTGTACCCATCCCTTCTATCGTGCCTGCAGGTGGTTTTGTGACCGCATGCTGAACTAAATCAGAGAACTGATTCAGGCTAAAATGGCCTCAAAATGTTGTCTGCATGACAAATAAGATACTGAAAGTCTTTTAATTCCAGTCTTGGTTAGCTCATGTGTTTTGGTAACCTAAGTCTGAAAATTTATTTGCACCCACATTCAGTTTCCGCATTCAGTTTCCTCTGGGCTGGTTCACTGTCTAAACATCTGTGCTAGCTTATGGGAGCATGTGCCACAGAGGTTGAAACAAATGGTTAGGGGTGGAAATTTATCTTTTCCTTGCTCAATTACTCTGAAGTTAAATTTGACTGCACTTAAAAGGAAACCTTTTGCTTTCTTCAATAACAAAAGGGAAAAACTTTTTCCCATATGACTTAATTTCAGGATGCACTTTAATGTTCACCACATACATGAATGATAATAGCTTTATTTTTGAATTGTTTTGCTTTCAGAAGTTCATAGTGATTCATTATATGGGGGGAAATGTTTAATAGGAATATGTTAATGGGCTGGTCTAAATCAATAATTAAAGTTTTATTGAATTGTTGTAGTTGACTTCCTGGCTGCACAATATTTCTGCATAGGAATCTTAGAAACACTTAACTTTGGGAGGATCTGTCTCTCAGTTCTAGTTTATTTGTTTGGTTGGTTTTTATTTCCCCCTTATCATCTTTGAGCAGACTTTAAAAAAACCAAACGTTTATTCAAGTCTGTAGCTTTGAGAGGAAGAAAAAATAGAAACAGGACGCTTGATTTTTCCACTTACAAATACTTTGTGATCATAAATGTTAAGTATTCTCAAGCATCTTTATGAAAAAAATAATGAAATCTTCCATATTATTCCAGTGAGTTCCAGTTACTCCAGTGATACATGGTGTGGGGATGAACAGGAAGACAGTAGCTATTTCAGTACCCTGCTCATTTGAGATCTATAATAGTGCACTTAAAGTTACATGCAGTTTTATTGCAACAGCAATTTCGTAAGTGTAGTCCCCAGCTGAGTGAAGTAGAAATGTGTGAGAAATTCAAAGTACAAACCTGTGAAGTGTTGAACTGGTTTTGAAGATGCATTTGCTCTGATGGAAAAGAAAATACTAATAAGTGGGGATAGAATTGGTATTAAAGTGGTTCTTGAATTGCCTTTTAATTGGTAGATTTACTATTTTGATACGTGTGAGCTATGCTACTGTATTCTTGACGAAGACATCCTATTTGAAAAAAATTTAAACTGGGTTTAAAATTGAGAAACTCTGCTTGGCCTGGGCTGGAAGTGGGATGGTGGATGCTTTCTCCCCAGTGCCCAGCAGCATGCTAAATAGCTGAATCATTCAGCACAGGCCTGCAGTTGCTGAGTTTTGTTTGTAGTAGGTTGCCACTCAGTGTGAGACAGATCACATTGCTTACATTCGGTGTCTCATGCTTCTAAACCTAACAATACTTAAAAACCCGTGTGAGGTTTTGAAGATATTTTATGATCACTTTCGAGGTCCTGCTTGAAGGCACAGTAGTAAAGCAAGTTAAAGGTACTTGTTCTGGTCTTTTTAAATGAAGACTCAAAAATTCGTTGTAAAATTCCTTCTGCCAGTTGCCGTCATTAGCAATTTCTGTATTCTTACAGTGTAAAGGAAATAGTGGTAGCATTGTATTTGGGTGGAGGTGTAAAGATAAATGGGGTGGCTTACAGTGTAGCTCACTGAAACTTTCTTTTCCAGCTACCAGTATTAACATCAATGAAGTGCCAAATGAAGAGGGAAGTTTGGAGATAAACAGTAAGGTGGATGCCTGCCAGAATGGGCCAGAGTCACTCTTCCCTGTATCTTTTGACCCCACCAGCAATGCACAGGGTCAAGAGTCGTCCCCAGGTGTGACTGGTTTCCATGACAGCCTAAGGAAGTCTCAGGGAACTAGTGCTGAGGGCATAGTTCTTAGAAAAGAAGCTTTGCAGTCTCTCAAACTAAGTCTTCCCATGCAAGAAACTGAATTGTGTAAGCATCTGTTTACGGTGGTGCCCCTGCTTTCTCTTGCTGCATAAAGCTTCTAACTCTGAGCTTGGCTCTAGAATCCTATAAAATCATTTAAGCTTGGACTAAACTTCCTTTTTGCAGTAAGCTTTGACTTTGAACTACAATTCATTTTCTTTCAGTAAACCACCCTTTGCTGCAGCTAAGGCACGTGCCTTACCATTTAAAAATTGTTCTTAGGCTGGAGGGGAATTTATGCTTTCTGGGGCTGAAGCTATTCTAATCTCCTTGATTATTAGGAGTAACAGGTGACATTAAAAAAAGAAACCAAACAAAAACCAGCAGAACCACGTGATTTTAAGCTAAGTAGTAAAGAGAGGAAGAGAAGAGCAATAAAGGGGAGAGGAAGGGAAGCCTTTATATTAAGGTGTCTAATGCTGCAGGAGTCTTTGGAAAAGTTTTTAAAAAGTCTTACTAGAGGAAAGATTTAGTGTGAGTTAACAAAAAGAAAGAAAATGTATCTAGGTAACATCTTTCTCTGACCTGTAGGGTCAGAGTAGACTGTGTAGGTCTTGCTTAATTTTATAATTTCAGTACTTTCAGAAGTGTAGGACAGGTGAGATTAAATGACAGCAATAGTTTTTTTTCTTGCTGTATAATCTCTTGTCATATATATGTAGAGGAACTACAGCATTTGCAAACTGAACAACAGAAATACACAGACTTTATCAATGCTTACACAAGGATACGTTAGAACAGGGTATTCTGAGGTGCATGCGAATGGGCTTTCCTTGCATTCCTTGCTTAAGCATGCAGCATGTTGCTGATGGTAGAAGGGGCTTTTTCGTTTTGCATCAGATTTGCCTATGTTGGAGTTTCCTGCATGACCGTAAAGACACCTTTCACTTACAGGCTCAGTAGAGTCTTCACTCCCATTGGAGAAAGAAGAACAAATAAGACTTCAAGCAAGAAGAAGGCTAGAAGAACAGCTCAAACAATACAGAGTGAAGAGACATCAAGAAAGAGTGAGTACCACACAACAGATCTACATTCGGTGTCTTGTTGAGAACCTTGAAAACTTTATCCTTTCTGTACTCTAAATAACTGTTGTCTCTACTTTAAACGTTCAGTAGTTTTCTCAAATGTGAGAAAGCATTTTTTTCTTCTGGACATGCAAAATTTGATTCTCTGTTACCTCATCAGTAACGTACTGTTTTGTGCTACTTGAAATAGGGGGCGGGGGGGAACAAACCCAAAACTTTAGTAAACTAAATGTTCAATTTTTCCTATATTTTTTCAGTTAGCTTTTGGAGTCTACCTTCATCATTTTCAACATGCATATATTGAGCCTTGATAGTATTGATTGCTGATGTAATTTACCTTGTTTATGAGATGTTGCATATATTTAATATTAATGTAAAAGTTTAGAGTGTTACATATGAAGTTCTACAGTAAAATTAGTCTTTGATGCCAGTTCAAATGCAACATTCTGGAATTTATTGTTGACTCTTTGCTTCTTTTAGTCTAATCAGTCTACATCCAAAAACCGGCCCTCCAGCACCCTAGATCCTGAGCTGATGTTAAATCCAGAAATCTTGCCAAGAGCTAGCACTGTAGCAATGACAAAAGAATACTCCTTTGTGCGGACCATTGTCCCCAGGGGGCCAAAACTGGGTAGCCTGGGACTTCCAGCATCCTCAAAAGAGAGAAGAAGTTCAAAATCTAAGCCCGGTAAGATCCGGTCCTTGGCTGACTACAGAACTGAAGATCCAGGCTCTAGAAATGGGAATTTTGTGGCTACTGATCTGTCTGGTGGGACTCTGAAGCAAAGCAGAAGCGGTCCAGCATCAGTTGTTTCTGAGATTAGTCTGCCCTCTGACACGGACGATAGAATAGAGAGTTCCTCCTTGGCAGGAGACAGCGTTTCAGAGATTGATGGGAGTGAAGCGGGAATGAGGCTGGATGGAAATGAGAGTGACAGCTCTACCTACAGCAGCGTGTCAGGAAAAGGGCTGTATAACAGTTTACAGAATGCAGAAGGCAAACAGGGTATTCCGTATACAATAAACGGTCAGAAGATACATCCTGATGCAATGGGGCAATTTCCTTCCATCAGTGAGGTGCTACAGGCTGCAGCAGTGGAGCATCAAGCCCAAGAGCAAGAAGTTAATGGGGAAGTACGGAGCAGGAGAGACAGTATTTCTAGCAGGTAAGATAGATCACCGTACAGTGAGGCCATTATTAGGCATTATGCTTTCTTGGAATAGGTAGCCTATTACTCTTTCTTCTACTAACTTTGGATCCAGTTTTAACTTACATTCATTGTGATCAAATCTGTTGTTAACTTACAGATTCTAAAAGAAACTGAAAGGTCACTTCACTTGAGTACCTATTTGCTAAGTGTATCTTTTAAGAAAGATATTTTTGCTACTGACACTGTGTTTTAAATGTGCTAGCGGTTCCTTCTATCTGTATTTACCTGGGAAGCAGGCATTTGTTCACTGAATCACTGATGTGGCATTGGTCTTTAAAGTCTGAAAGCGTAGCCATAACTGACTCAGTGATATTTATTATTGTCCTTTTCCTGATCTACACACATAGCTTTCAGATCTCAAATAGTTATGAAACGCCAAGAGTCTTGTCCTAGATACCCTTATCCTCTTCAGCTCTTTAGAATGATACTTAGTCTCACAAGCTTATGTGTATATGGTAGGTATCAAACGGTGATTCAGCAAGCGAGTGGATGGCTGCTGAAGCCCTTAACAATGCAGTTGTGGTTTTTGTCAGTTGTCTGCAGATGCATGCTTTATACATGCTAATTTTGAAATTCCCTTTTTTTGCTTTATCTTTGCTGGAATAAAGTGTAGTGCCCTGAGATATTAAGGTAAAAATCAGTTGTCAACAATTATTCCAGCTTAGACTTAATTCTTTCATTATTGAGAAAGAAGAGAAGGTCTTGCCCTTTTTCTCTAGGCTCCTTGGCTGTGCGTCAGGGAAGGACCATAAGGAATCCCTTATACCAAATACCTGTTTTTCCTTCTTTTGCATTAGCTGTTGGTATTTCTCAGGCACATTAAAGTAGACAGTTGCAGACAACAGTTGTGGAGGTTTTGTGCTTGCGTTATGTCCATTTGCCTGCTTAAAAAAGGATATTGCAGATATAGAATATAATGAAGTCAACCATGGTACTTCAGTAAAATCACAAATATATGGGTGCCACACTAGATTCTAGTTGCTGCAAATACAAGAAACTAACGTATAAAACCCTAGCGTGAATGTAATTTCTTTATCTCTTTGGATGGTAACAAAGGGCCTTTCAGGGTGTTCTGGATCCATCGTAAAGCCATAAAAAATGTCCTAAATTCTAGGTCACATGTGAACTCTGAGTAGCTCTTAATTTCAGCTTCACTTTCTTCAACTAGGTGAGTGTTGTATTCTAACTCTTTAACTGTGTATGTGATGTCTCTGTCTCCAGTGTTTCTATGGAAAGCTCTATCACGGGAACTCATGACGAAATGTTGCAGGTTCTGAAGGAGAAGATGAGACTTGAAGGGCAACTAGAAGCACTCTCACTAGAAGCTAATCAGGTAGAAAATGAATTTTAATTCTTCTATTTAGCAAATCATATTAATATATTAATTAATATTCAAGAACCTCCTTGTGGGAATTGTGTTTTGTAAAAACGTTGTTGAATTAGGTTATACATCAGGAAACTAACGTATAAAACTTTACAAGGTACTTTATATTTATCATCTTGAGCATCCTTGTAAAGTTAGTAAAGTCTTCAAAGGGTTTTAAAAAAAATGTTTTTTTTGAAAAAAGTAAAATTGAAAGTGAGATGATGTCTATATAGCTGTATTTTCTCTTTGTATTGATTGATACTATAACACTTACAATAGAAAGCGTTCTTCCTTGAAGTGTGGAAACATGCATCTTATTAAATATCCTGACATGGTTACTTACATATAGTGCTATATACATCTTGTCTATACTTTCCTCTGTATTCTTTGATTATTTAAAATACCTGCTAGGTGAGATGTCACTTTCAAAAAGAATTTTTTACAAGCAAGTGGTCTTTGCCTTAGCAAAGCCATTTTGCTGAGCATCTTCTTTAGTCAGTCATAATGTATTTTCTCTTAAAACTTCCATATTTTGATTTTTGGGACACATTCAGGCTCTCAAAGAGAAGACTGAGCTACAAGCCCAACTTGCAGCTTTGAACATGAAGCTTCAGGCGCAGATGGAACACAGCCAAAACAGCCAGCAGAAGCAGGAATCTCTGAGCTCAGAAGTGGCCACATTAAAGCAGTCTTGCTGGGATCTGGAACGAGCAATGGCTGACCTGCAAAATACGTTGGAAGCAAAGAATGCTAGTTTGGCTTCTTCAAATAATGATTTGCAGTTAGCAGAGGAGCAGTACCAAAGACTCCTGCTGTAGGTTGAAGATATGCAAAAAAATGTTCTCACCAGAGACAGCACAGGTGGGATGTAAATGTCAATCTTTAAAATTTGTTATTCCGTAAATCATTTTATTTCAACATAATTCTGAAGTCCTTGAGCAAGAAGGAATTTTAGATTGTGTTTTGTTGATGTCATACTAATTAAATGGTGTGAATTTTATGATTGTTTTTTATTTTTGTCACAAAAGTGTCACAGTTTGCAAGCTGCCACTGCCAGCCTGGAGAGGGAGGCATAAATATTTAGTCTGGTAACTGCTTGAGAGTGGACTAATGTTTTTCAGAAAATTGTACAAATATTGGTTTGTAATGATGACTCTACATGTCAGGATACCCGCTCTCTGGTTTTTAGTTAGTTCATATTTTCTGCCACTTAAGGAACTTGGAATGCTGAAAGAAGCGATTGATTTATTTTAATTTTGTCCTGCTTATGACCTTCTAGCACTTCCCCTCACTTTTGCAGGAAAAACTAATCTTTATGCAATTAGACATATATGGTTTTGTTCAAAAAGAAAGGAAAATAAAAAAGAAAAAGCTATGAATATCACAAAAATCCTTGAAAATGTGTGCATAAAAATAGAACAATGGAGTACACTAGTCCAAGTTCTTTATTTTTCTTTTTCTAGTTCATGATCTGCGACAGCAGTTGGCTTCCTTACAGAATCAGCTTCAGAAGGTGCAGTTGGAACGCACCACACTGACCAATAAGCTAAAGGCGTCTGAAACAGAAATCACATCGCTCCAGAATGTGCGGCAGTGGTACCAGCAGCAGCTTGTACTAGCACAGGAGGCCCGTGTCAGGCTGCAGAGTGAGATGGCCAATATACAGGTATTATGCTTTACTTGCATATGGGAGGCCTGAGAATATGTTCTTTTTTATGTTAGTTTTACCCAAAGGATATTGTTTATGGGCTCAGACAAGGCAGCCGGTGTCACTTGTGTATTCTTCAGGTGGAGAGCAGGCAGGGATGGTGTTTTGTTTTTCATCACAGAATCACAGAATGGGTAGGGTTGGAAGGGACCTCTGGAGATCATCTAGTCCAACCCCCCTGCCAGAGCAGGGTCACCTACAACAGGTTGCACAGGACAGCGTCCAGGCAGGTTTTGAATGTCTCCAGAGTGGGAGACTCCACCACCTCTCTGGGCAGCCTGTTCCAGTGCTACACTACCCTCAAAGTAAAGAAGTTCCTTCTCATGTTAAGATGGAACTTCCTATGTTCAAGTTTATGCCCATTACCCCTCGTCCTATCACTGGGCGCCACTGAAAAAAGACTGCTCCCATCCCCCTGGCATCCTCCCATTAAGTATTTGTAAGTATTAATAAGATCCCCCCTCAATCTTCTTTTCTCTAGACTAAAGAGACCCAAGTCCCTAAGCCTTTCTGAACTGGGGAGCCCAGAACTGGACACAGTACTCCAGATGCGGTCTCACCAGGGCAGAGTAGAGGGGGAGGATGACCTCCCTCGACCTGCTGGCCACACTCTTCTTGATGCACCCCAGGATACCGTTCGCCTTCTTGTCCGCCAGGGCACATTGCTGGCTCATGGTCATCCTGTTGTCCACCAGGACTCCCAGGTCCCTCTCCACAGAGCTGCTCTCCAGGAGGTCAGCCCCCAACCTGTACTGGTGCATGGGGTTATTCCTCCCCAGGTGCAGTACCCTACACTTACCCTTGTTGAACTTCATAAGGTTTCTTTCTGCCCAACTCTCCAGCCTGGCGAGGTCACGCTGTAAGGCAGCACAGCCTTCTGGCGTGTCAGCCACTCCTCCCAGTTTTGTGTCATCAGCAAACTTGCTGATGGTACACTCTATCCCTTCATCCAGATCATTGATGAATATGTTGAACAAGACTGGGCTCAGTACTGAACCCTGAGGGACACCACTTGTTACTAACCTCCAACTAGACTCTGCACCACTAACCACAACCCTCTGAGCTCTATCTGTAAGCCAGTTCTCATCATGAGGTGTTCATTCACATTAAGGCTGAGGCATAAATTTAACTAAAGCACTTGCCTTCTGTGGATGATCTGTAGTGCTGTGAAAGTCATAGTGGAGACAAGGCACAGACAGATCCAACGTGATTTTTTTTTTCTGAAACTCTGAAATTTGTTGGCCAAATTTTGACTGTTGGTATTAATCAGTGATTTATTTTATTTTTTTTCCCCCTTTCCTTTAGGCTCGGCAAATGACCCAAGCAGGTATGTTGGAACATCTCAAGCTAGAGAATGTGTCACTGTCTCAGCAGCTGACTGAAACCCAGCACAGATCCATTAAAGAAAAGGAACGTATTGCAGCACAGCTGCAAAATATTGAGGTATGGTTGTAGGTGGTCTTCATAAATTATGTTCTGCCTAAGTTGTGTATTTCGGTTTTGCAAACTCAAGGATATTCTGACAAGGTAACAATTGAATTGTTATGAATTGATTCAAATGGTGCACTATAAAAAGGGTAAATATTTCAGACCAGAGAAATTTGCATGACGTTACAAACAATAAGAGGGAGCAAGGCTATACGTTTCCCATTCCAGGGGTATACTTGCATTTTCAGATCTGGTGTTTGGTTTTGATTTAAAGGTGGATGTAAATGTTCTCCTTTGCCCATTCAGGAACTTTTTCAAGAGAAAACTTATTGGAAGTTGGACTAAGTCAGTAAAGTGTTTCTTAAATGTGCAAAATTGCTCAGTTCTCAGGTTTGTCCTTCCTGCACTCCAGTAAGAAAAGATGAGCAAAATCTGAAGTGCAGCATGCTCACTTTCAAAGTACTTAAAAGCTTAAATCCCATTAAATGTCAGTGATGCTCCTGCTTCTAAGTCTCAAAGGGCAGTAAAGCAGCAGGGCAGTGGAAGCACCCTATCTCCAGCGTTACTTGTAGTGGTTGTGTAAATGACAGGAACTGCTATTTTATGGAGTAGCTACAGCATCCGAGGAATGTCTTGATTCAGAATTTTTCTGAACAGCTTAATTTTAATAAAGATTCTTTTTCTTTACATCTTGTTTCACCAATTTAAAAAGGACATGGTGTTATGTAAGAGGAATTCAGATTCTCACAAGTATACAAGACATTCGCTGTTGTTATAACTTCTCTTAAGTATATGAATGGGTGACTTCAGTGAAGACATACAGCTGTGTGAAGGCAAACATCAGAATTATTTTTGCTTTTGTCTTTTCTCTTGAAACTTCCCTGATAATTCACCTTTTTCTTTTCCTCTCTTTTTTTTTCTTTTTTTTCTCTTTTTCTTTTTCCTGCCTCTTCCCCTCCACGGAAATTGGAAAAGTTGATTCCTTGCTTTTTTTTTATGCAGGCTGACATGTTAGATCAAGAAGCTGCCTTCATGCAAATCCAGGAGGCTAAAACCATGGTGGAAGAAGACTTGCAGAGAAAGCTAGAGGAGTTTGAGGATGAAAAAGAACAGCTTCAGAAAATGGCTGATTCTGCAGTAACATTGGAGCAAGAATTGGAACAGGTAGACTGTTGTTAGGCTAATTCCCAAGGGTTTCAAGGGAAATACTTATTTGGCTGAAAAGGCAATAGTAAATAGATACTGAGCTCTAAACTTTTTTTAATAACTTTTTTTTTGGTGATTATTCTAAGTATAGACAGGAAGCATAGATCCACGTTCAAAGTTGTTAGGCAGTTAGGATACCTTTATATACAATTGCAGCGTAATAAATCTGCACTTTGCTACAAAGTCCTGCTTTAACCTTGTAACATTACAAAGGCAGCATGTCAAGGGCTGGAATAAGATGAAGTATGTGATAGCTTAGTATTATATTCCATGTATACATGGAATATATATATATATATACATGGAATATACATATATATATTCCATTATATTGCATGATATGGCATTATCATTTAAAACACTGAATTTACTCAGTATATCCACTGTGGACACAATTTTCAAATAAAAATTGAGAATACTGTGAATCTTACTTAAGAATATTTTAGGTTTGTCATTCTGGTCATTGCTTAGCCTGTAAGACTACAGATGCTGCAGAAGGCAATCAGTGCAACTAGTAGAGCAAATAGAAGTGACCTAGGAAGGTTAAAAAATATTTTCACCTTCTGCTGTTTTCTTCTAGAAGCTAAAATATTAGTTAAAACATTTTTTTATTGAAGTGCATTTGCAAAGATGTCATTCATTTTGTATGAATTTAATCTTAAAATACTTCTTCTCAGGTCAAGTTGACTTTGCATCAGCGAGATCTGCAGCTTGAATCTTTACAGCAAGAGCACCTAGACCTAATGAAGCAATTCACTCTGACCCAAGAGACATTGCACACCAAAGAGCAGTCCCTGGATGACCTGCAAACACAGTATGATGAACTGAAGGCCAGATTAGAAGAGTTCCAAAGTGATGCTACTTCTAAAGATGACATGATCCAGTATTTGCAGAATGAGAAGATTGTCTTGGAAGTAGCTCTGCAGGCAGCAAAAGCAAGCAAAGAGCAACTTGAGGAAGGAGCAGTGCGCCTTGGAGAAGGTACAGAAGTAGCATCAGAAATCTTGGAACAACTCAGGCAAGAAATGGCAATCAAGTCAAGCCAGGTAATGAATCCCTAAAAGTAATCTTATTTAAAATAGCTGTTCCAGGGAAATACTGCCACAGGTACACGATAGAGCCAGCTACATGAGAGGAGATTGGTACACGTGTGTTTGTATACGTCTGTAGTTGTGAAATTCAGCTAGTGGGAATATTTTAATCAATTCTCTCATCTTTCCCTGTTGGTAGGCTATCTGACACTTTACATCCTATTATATCATTGATGAGCTTACAGTTTAATATCCCTTGGTATCTATATGCAGTTATGCATTTGTGTGGTATGGGATGGGAAGCCGAGGTTAATTCATCTTGTTCTGTCTGTTTCCAAGACCCACCATCTTTCCAAAATCTACCAGTTTTTAAAGGTAATAATTTTGAGTACAGATCACATTTTTGGAAGTAATTTTTTAGTGTGCTCCTTTTCTGTGGTACTGCAGACCAAACGTCTTCCTCGTGCAGTAATTTGGTCATGTTTAATTGTGCCTTTTCTCTTGAAACAGTATACCAGGGTTTGCTTTTGCATGTTGCTATATACCAGCTGAGGCTTTTTTCTAGTCACTTAACTATTTTACAAGATCAAGCCTAATGCATATCCTTATTCTCTTTGTGGCTGCTTTAAATTATGGTGACTTTTCCTTTCACACCTTGGGTTGATAGTAGTGTTTGCTCTGTATCTTTTAGAGCATCCAAGCTCCATAGCAAGAGCTTTCTTATTGAATCTTGGTAATGATGAGTTCCTGGTAATCTTTCAAGATTTCTTTTGTAGATAATAATGTGACTTGATAGTATTACCAATAGACGTATTGAAGAACTATGGAAATATATTTAACATGAAGATTGGGGGTTTTTCTTTCAAAGAACCAGCTGGTTTCTTCATTTGATCATCATGTACATGTGAATGGGCACCATCTGGGTACAACATATGTATACTAAAGGTACACACTAAAACTTCAATGGCAGGATAAGGGGACTTCCTGCATTCCTGAGGGCTGACAAGGCTCCCTCTGTGGTGAACTGTGTGAATGTATTTCTGTATAAAATGTTATCTAACAGTGTCACTGAGGTGCCTATTCAGAAACAGGATCCTTATGAGATTAGGCAATTGGTACAAGCATAGTAGAAGATACTGTCAGTGCTTGAAATAACGTAGAATGTGACATTTGGCATGTAAAGCAACATGTTTGCTTTTTATTTCCTCTGGCAGGTAGAAAATCTGCAACAAGAAAATGCCAGCCTTAAAAAACAGGTTCAAAAAGTGAAGGAACAGTTCCTGCAGCAGAAGGTAAGCAACAGCAAACTATTTCAAAGAAATAAAACCAAAGACTATACTTTTTTCACAGTGAAGGCATGAACATCTTTGGGGTTTGTGAAGACAGTTGAATCACTTTTCTGTATCAGAGAACTTTGTGACATGATTATACAGTTTCTGTATTTTGTACAGTTGAATTTTATCTGTAACTAAAGTAAAAGCAGATCCACCAACCAATTTGTGCTTTCATTGGACTTCAGGGAGTTTGCCAAATGAACCACCATATAAAATCTCTCTCTGATTTGTTGATGCTAGGTTTGCAAAAGGACTCATGAAAATCTTTGAGTGTTGTCATTTTCTTGCAGCTTTGAAAAACTATAGTTGCTTCAGTAATTAGATTGAAAATAAGTGCTTTATTGCAAATTTCATTCTGAATTTACACAGTTTTGAGATAGTAATTTGAAATTGATGTTTCATTAATGTTGCACGTGTGTCTTATGTATAGGGTGGCACCATTAATTTACTGGTTGATTGCTTATTAAGCTAATGCCAAAGGTTGTTTTAGCTTGTTAGGTTTAAGTTTGGGAAGGCTGTTCAAACTGTCAGTTACAGTTAAGCCCTCTTCTCGTAGCAAAAGTTATTAATTATGTGCATGGGATGCTTAATTTTTTACAATTAGTGTAGCTTAAAAAAATGGCACGTAATTAGGGCAGTTCCATAAAGAATGTGAAGAAGAGTATCCCATACTGCTATAAACACTGTTACTCAGAGGTTTTTTTATGAACTGCTGATACATAGTGGTATTTGATATCTGAGCTTACATAAAAATCTTTGAACCAGAGTAAATATGATACAGAAGATGATGCTGGTTTGTGGTCTTTGATACCCTCCCCTCCCCCCAAACGAAAAGAATATCAGTAAATACTTCATAGTAAATTACTTCTTAATTTATAAAGCTGTAACAGAGGTGACATTGTCCTCTTGAAACTCTTGTGTCCAAGGTAATGGTGGAAGCTTATCGAAGAGATGCAAGTTCAAAAGACCAGCTGATTAGCGAACTGAAAGCTACAAAGAAGCGGCTGGACTCAGAAGTGAAAGAGTTAAAACGAGAGCTATTGAAAATTCAAGTTGAAAAACAGTCCCTTGAATCTGAACATTCAAAGCTACAGAAGGAAGTATCTCAGGTTCACCAGCAGATGGTGGAAATAGAAAATCATCTTCAGTCAGTGCAGAAAGAAAGAGACGATATGGAAACGCGCCTACAGGTATGGAAGGTGTTAAGCTTTGGACTTTGAGGTTGTTACATCCAGGATATGCTGCTATTTCTATTTAACTTTGGAAATAAACAGAATCACCATCTACAAGTTAAGGTTCTTGGTTACATGTTTAATATTGTCTATGCATTTGAGCATATACCTACCAAATTTCTGTAAATACATGACTGCGTATTAACATTTCATGTAAGTGTGAAGAAGCACGCTACAGGAGTGGTAGAGGTGTGATGTGGAAGCAGTTTCCTTGGTTCCAAAGTGAACTCCATCTGAGAGCAAAGACCAAAAGAAGACTCTGTTCATACCTGTTATGGTAGTGGCCACAGAGGGACGAATAAA